ATTAAGATTTTCTTAATGGAAGAGTTTAAGTTTTCAACTGAGAAGTTCTCTACTGGCTGTACTGAGGACCTCCCAGCCTTGAATCTGGTCAGCTGAGGCCCATATGGCTTAAGCTGGCTTCATGGACGGTATTAAAAATATACGTCTACCATTTCTAAAATTGCTTCTAATTTATAATTAAGCATTCTGAGCACCCCATTGGTCATTTGAGCACTGCCTATGGGACTGAGCAGGAAATGGAATTTTCAGAAAGATCAGTGTAAACTGATGTTTAATTGGAACCACAAAAACCCAAGGGGGCAAAAACAACTCAAGAGTTAATTCTATAATATATATTGTTCACGTTCACGAAAGAAAGTGTTGTATGAGGATGGCAGCACCTGAACATGTAGTACCATTCCCTCCCCCAAAAGTCTGGCTGTGCCCATCACGGCGACTTTTTAATCCTTGTGATCCCTCCCCAACACTTGTGTTAAAATAGGGGTGGGCAAAATATGACCTCGGGGCCAACTTCATTTCACTGCCTATTTCCATATGTTCCTGAGCTAAGAAAAGTTTGTGTGTTCTGTCTCTAATTCAGTGAGATGTTATTCCTACCCAAAAAGAATTCTGTTCTTCTCATTAAGTAGACATATATTTTGAAAATTGTACTCAGTTATTATTAGCATTTTGAATATGCTTAATAAGGTTGTGGAAGTGTGTTTCCTATTTAAGTACCTACATAACATCTTCGATTTTGCCTTTTGGCCTGCAAAACCTAAAATATTTGCTATCTAGTGTTTTAGAGAGAACATTTGCTATTCCCTGCCTTAACACCCAAAGTGAGCCAGCATGTAACTCAGCCGGGCTTGCTCTCAGCCAAGTGCTGCCTTAATAAATCGGGCTTACAGTGGGCCGGGTACTGTGCAGACGTAAGCCCCTTACGTCTGTTAGCTCGCTCAATTGTCACAGCAACAGTGGGGGTAAATACTCTGCTTATCCCCATTTCACAGAAAGTGAAAGTGCCTCAGAGAGGTTAAGGTCTTTGCCCAACGTCACACAGCCTTTAAATGTCAGTTGGTTTCAGAGCCCATGCTAGAGCTTTGGCAAAGAAAATTCTAACCTATACTATATCGGTCATGCTGATGGAGAATATAGCGACATGGTATACCTTTAAGGCACTAGTAGTCCAGTTACAAAAAGAAATAAGGCATATGCACAAAATATTAAAAGAAGCACATGGTAAAACCTTGGTGGTTTAGAGAAATAATAACAGCAATAACAAAAGTAATAATAATTATAAGAATAATATTTATCATTTATGAGATGTATACTGTGTTCCAGGGTCTTTCTGAACCTTTTTCTTGTATTGATTTATTTAATCTTCACAGCAGCCTAGGAAGGTTTAATAGCCTGCCCAAGCTCACACAGCTCACAGGTGGTAGAGCTGGGATTTGAACTCAGGCAGTCTGAGAAGCTGCTCTCCAGGCATACTGTTATAAAGCCTTGGTGATTTCCTTAAAGAAAGAATCCCATGCAAGTCTTTGCGTACTCCTCATATCTTTGACCTTGGATCTATTGTTTCACTTTGGTCTTCCATTTCCCTATCCCTAAAATTAAAGAATTAGACTAAATTGGTGGCTTTCAAAGGAGTCCCCAATTCAGCTTCAACCACAGTGGCTGCACTTTCAGCCATTTGAGTTCCTGGGCTCCCAGGCAGGATTTTGTTTGAAGAAACGCTTCTTTGACTGCAAAAGCCAATGAGCTGGGGCTGTCTAAGGCCATTGCAGGTTGCAGAGTCCTCAGATCCAGTGACGGTGATAATGGAGGGAGGAAGAAGCAGTGAAGCCAGGCCCTCCTCCCCTACCCGACACCAGTCTACCCAGCCCACAGGTCTGACTTTGTTCTCTAATCACCGAAAGCCAGAACCTGCCTCCGGAAGTCCTTCTGCACGTGCAGTAGGGGTCAGGCTTGGGGGTTCCATCAGTGCCTGCCAAATCATGAGCCCATACAAGAAGTCACTTAACCTAGCACTCTGGGAGGCCAAGGTGGGAGGATCGCTCAAGGTCAGGAGTTCAAAACCATCCTGAGCAAGATCGAGATCCCGTCTCTACTAAAAATACAAAGAAATTAATTGCCCAACTAAAAATATATAAAAAAAAATTAACCAGGCATGGTGGGGCATGACTATAGTCCCAGCTACTTGGGAGGCTGAGGCAGAAGGATCGCTTGAGCCTAGGAATTTGAGGTTGCTGTGAGCTAGGCTGATGCCACAGCACTTTAGCCCAAGCAACAGAGTGAGACTATGTCTAAAAAAAGAAGAAGAAGAAGTCACTTAAGAGCAGGTGTCGTCAAACTACAGCCTGCAGGCCACATGCAACCCGCCGAGGACCGGGTGTTTTTGCCGCCGCTGCCTGTCCTGCTTAGCAGCCGTCTCGTCCCAGGCCCACAGTGCGCACTCTCCAACGGTCTGAGGGACAGTGAACTGGGCCCCTGTTTAAAAAGTTTGAGGGCCCCTGCTTAAGAGTCTTGATCCTGCTGAATCAGCGTTCCCCTTTGAAGTCTAGTCTCCTGTTGGTGGGGCAGGTGTCTCTGCTTTCTCTTTTTATGTTCTTTAAGGCTAAAGATGCTTCTAAGAGTGGGTGCTTTAGATGGGGGCTTGGCTCCTGGGGTCTTGCAGGGATTGTCTCGGCGCTTCCTGTTGGCATACACGGTGTAACTGCAACCCTAATATTGGGTCAGGCCCCCTGGGGAGAACCCCTCAGATTTTCTAGTCAATCCAGCTGGAGCCCTTAATCCTAAGGCAGGTAGGTCCTTGTGTTGCTACATGACGCTGAGTTCACCTACAACACAAGGGAGACGTGCAGGTGGCAGTTTTGCAGCTGGTGGTGGCCAAGCCTGCGTGCATCCTCTGATGGCTGGAGCTTTGGTTGACTATTGACACAGCCCAGAGAGTGCAAGCAAAGGCCAAAATATTTTCTCCTCCCGGCCAGACCACTTGCAGCCAAGCACGTTTGCAGAGATTTCCCCTGTCATTAGGGCCACTGGTGACCAGGTTTAAATTAAAGCCCAGACTTGCCAGTGGGCGGAGGGGTGATTCCGTTATTTGCAGCCTTTTGTCTGACAGAAACTGTTTTTGTCATTTTGATTAGAGAACCCTATGATTTGAAGACTTTTGCGTTGATCAGTTAATAGGAAATTTTTCCTTTTAGAAAAATGAATCAAAAGCCTGTGTGGGAATCAGCCAGGGACCGTGAGCTTCATGGATAACTGCTTTTACTCCGCCGTTCGCTGTTGAACTTGACCCTAGTTGCTTAACCTCTCTGTGCATTGATCTCCGTATCTGTAAAATTGGAGTATTCAAAGTACATACTTCATGGAGCTGTAAAATAGGAGAACATAGTGAAGTAAATAACGAAATCCTGCATTCTGAACTCAGCTACCTGGTTTTTGTATCCCAGCTCTATAATTTGAGGATCATAATAGAACTAACTTCATGGAACTATTTTAAGTTACTAAATAAATTAATCTTTATAAAGCTTTTAGAACAGGGCCTGGCACCTATAGTAAGGGCTGTTTAAATGTTTGCAGCTTATGAATTCTCAAACAAGTGCCTGGCATATACGAAAAGCTAAATAAATATTAAGTCTTGCTCAACTAATCTCTTCCAAAAGGAAATTGAAATTTTAATTATTCTACTCTAGTTGATTTCTGTTGGGGTTTTTGCATTATCCCCCAGTTGCTTAGACTTTTAGAGTGCAGTGGTACACATTTGCCCAAACATCTGTGCTGGTTGTTCTTCGTGGAAGGTAGCAGAGGAGAGAGGAGGCATCAAGCTTGGGAGGAATATTCCTATAGTCACAGGTGTGCCTGGGCAGTCACTAGAGTCCTGAGGTGGCCTAGGAATGTTCTGGAAGCCATGGTGGAAGCCCACTTAGGAGCTAAGTTAACCCATTAGTGGGACCCTGATAGTCTTGTTATATACCTAACAAGGATGAAGAGAGAATCCCAGATTTAAATTCAGGGCTAGATCTCTGGAGAATGCATTCAGCGACTAGAACCTTCTCTGACTCATGAAGGAAGCTGGCTGATCTCTGAGCCTGCTTGGGAGCATTATAAGACAGTAGCCGTAGTAATCTTCTCTTTTACACTGTTCCTTCTGCCACAAGCCTTTTGCACATGCTGTCCCTGCTACCTAAAATGTTGTTCTTCACCTTTTTGCTCCTATTTAATTTTCACCTAATGAATGTCATGTCAGAACCATGCAGTGTCTGCTGTCAAAGTGCCAGGATGCACATCCAGCTTCGCTTCCTGGGAGCTGCGTGACCTTGGGCAGACACTAACCCACTCCATGACATCGTTGTGTCTCAGCTTAACGGTCACTTCTTCCCTTTAAGGGGAGATAACTCTATTTTTTGTAAAAAAAAAAAAAAAAAAAGCAGCAGCCTATTTCTGGGGCTGTCTTTTTCAAGTTCAGGATTGTGCCTTGGTTGGGTCTCACTTAGATCTGGATGAGGCTCGGGTGGAATCATAGTGACACATAGCCAGGTCTGGTATTGCACATCACCAGTGGCCCGACATTTTTCTTTTTACAGTGATGACCTCGTTATGTCCCCAAATGTGTACCATGGATTATGAGTTCATGGTGCTAGAGAAGAGTTCTATGGTGAAACGAGATTGGGAAGGGGTGGGTTAAACACAGTCAGGCCTGTTTCTTTTTTTGCATGACTTTCAGAGCCTCGACTATGCTAGAGTGTTCTATTTCCTGGGGAGCGGGGAGGGAAAGGTCATGGTACCTGGCGGTGTTCATCATGGAACCTGTTTTCTGTGAATTATAATGTGGTGCTGAGTGCTGAGAACACACCCTGAGAAATGCGGCTTTGTTTTCTGAGTCTCTCCCACCGCCAAATGCTAGGCTTCCCAGGATGTAAACAAACATAAGGCTTGCGATGCTTGACTGTGCGTCTGCGGCATGGTGCGACTTACCAGTGTGCTTTTCTTTTCCCTTTCTCCCCCAACAGAGAAAGAGACCTTCCTGGATCCTTTCGTCCTCCGGGACCTCCTGCCCGCGTCCCTGGGCAGCTATTACCGGTACACAGGTTCTTTGACCACCCCGCCGTGTAGCGAGATCGTGGAGTGGATAGTTTTCCGGAGACCCGTCCCCATCTCCTACCACCAGGTAGACATTCTTCCTCAAACGGGACTTCCGTGCTCGCTTGTTTTGTGTCAACTGAACTACCATTGCTAGAATACACCAGTGTGGATTTTATTTTATTTTTTGACACTCTGCTCTTCACTGATTGCTTTCGTCTTTCCAACAAACATGTTTTTGAACCCAAGAATTGTAAAATCTAAGACACGGTTTCTCAGTTGCAAATTAACCAGCTGAGGGAAATTGCAGGCATGGCATTAGATACTGCCAGGCGCGGTGGCTCATGCCTGCAATCCTACCACTTTGGGAGGCCGAGGCAGGAGGATCGCTTGAGCCTGTAAAGTTCGAGACCAGCCTGGGCAACATAGTGAGACCCCCATCTCTACAAAAAAAAAATAAAAACATTAGCTAGGCATGGTGGTGCATGCCTGTAGTCATAGCTGCTCAGGAGGCTGAGGTGAGGGGAATCACTTGAACCCAAGGGTTCCAGGCTGCAGTGAGCTATGATGGCACCCCAGCAGCCTGGGCAACAGCATGGGACCCTATCTCAAATGTAATAAAATTATATGTTGATTAAGTATTCTGTCTTAGGAGAGGATAATAATTAAAGTGTGCAATGATGGCATCTAGTGCCAGAGACTCTTCTAAGCTCTTTATATGCGTTCACCATTTAATCTTCATGAAGAGCAGCCTTACAAGGTAGGTACTATTTGCACCCCCATTTTATAGAGGAGACCAAGAGACACAAGGCCATATAGCTGGTAACCAAGCCATCGTGCCTGATCCCAAAGACCACTAAGCCAGCCCGCAGTTCAGAAAAGAGAGAGATTTGGGTACATAAAGAAATGAAATAAAACATACCATGGATTGGATTCTTCTGTGTGCCAAGCCCTTCTTCACTAAGCACTGTACACATGTCGACTGAGTCAGTGGCAAAACAGCATTGAAAGACGGGTGTCACGCTACCGTGGTTCACAGAGGACGTCACTGCATGGGGAGATTGGGTACCACGCCCGGAGGTTCATGGTTGGTGAATGACAAAGCCAGAAACCAAGCCTGGGTTTGTCTGATTCCAAAACCCACGTTCCTGAGCGCTGTCCTGTACTGCTTCTCTGAGTGTGGCCTGAGCAAATGTCACAGGAAGGCAGGATTTAGGCTGAACACTAACCTTAGGTGGGAATTGGTAAAACGCAGATGGGGTTCAGATATGTGAGAGGAAGGGGAACTGTCAGGGAGATGAGGGGTCTTTAAAAGTCACCGTGTGAGGATTTAATAGATGGAAGGGGAGAATTCTTAGAAGGGTTATATTAGCTGTCCAAAATTTAGCATGTACTGAGTTAGAAAAAGCAAGATTTCTTCTGAAAAATTCTGCAAAATAGACCCAGGCACAATAGGTAGGATTTGTAAGAAAGTAGATTTGAGCCATTAACCAGGTTCATATCAGGGCATTTCATAGGAATGACACTCCCCCCCTAATATGATTGCTCTAATACTAGTTACAAGGGCTGGCTACCAGCTGATAGTAAACTGGGTCTAGTGACAAGTGTTCAAGGAGACAGGTATGAATAGATGTTGGCCAGCCACCAGATTGGCTGGCCTTGGGTCTTGAGTCATCAGAGGTACCAGGTGGCCTCCTAAGACATCCAGGGTTGCCCTTCTAGGGACAAATGGAACAGGTTGTCTAAAAGGAGGGAGGGGCAAGAGAGACACTTTATCCTGCTAACAAAGGTAGGTAGGTTGGGGCCAGGCTAAATAGATTTATCTGGCCTCACCGCTGCTGGCACTCGTTTTCCTTTGAGATTTTTTTTTTCTTCTTCTAATTCCACTCTGGAGAAAAAGGAAGGGCTTGGTGATTTGGTTTCTGAACAGGATCTGCCAGCCTTAAGAAGATGTTGAAATGAGGAAAGAGTTTTCTTCCTACTAGTGAAGTCAACATGGTTTTATTTAAAAAAATAAAATGACAGTCCAAATATTTTTATCTACAGAGTTGGTGAGAGGGTTGTTTTTGTTTTGTTTTGTTTTGTTTTTTGTTTTGTTTTTAAGGCTCCTTTTGGTCAATTAAGATAAATGTTTTTGTCTTTGAGGATTTTAATGTTTAAGATAATGGAGTTAAGAAGTACAGGTTTGGGCACCTTTTTTGCTGGATGCCAGGTGAGAGGAGAAGCAAAGGGTAGTACCATGTTTCCCTGAAAATAAGACCTCCCCATAAAATAAGCCCCAGCAGGATTTCTAAGCATTTGCGCAGTAGAAGCCCTACCCCGAAAATAAGCCCTAGTGATGGGCGTGGCTATGAAAATAAGCCCTAGTGCTGGGCGTGGCTATGAAAATAAGCCCTAGTGATGGGCATGGCTACACAGCGCAACTGCACAACCTATGCATTTCGTCTCGGAGCAGGAAAGAAGACCAGCAGCCCTTCTCATCTACCCCATGAGAGCTCTATGGCTCAACACCAGAGATTGGGGCCAGTTCTTCTAAAGGAAATAGTCACAAGACATTCAGAATGGAATTTGGGGTTTGGAGAGTAATGATGATGTTCCAGAAGAAGACGACTTAACTCTATTTGAATAAATGTAGATTGCTGTACCGTACTTAAAAAAAAATAACACATCTCCTGAAAACAAGCCCTAGGGTGTTGTCTTGAGGAAAAATAAATATAAGACTCTGTCTTATTTTCGGGGAAACACAGTAGTTGATCAACTGGAAAGAAATAGGGACCATTAACATTGACAAGGTTTCATTGCAGCTCCAGAGCCGTGGTGGGTTCTAACAAAAGACAGAATTTGGGGCTTGCATGTCTCGTCAATTACAGAAGCATTCTGAGCCCCATTTTGGTAGCTGGGGCTCTGAAAAAGTGCTTTCTTAAGATCTGTTTAGCTTCCCACTCTCTGCCATCCATACATTCAAGAAGAAATAATGGAAGAGTTTTCTCTATTTTCAGGAAAATAGAAAAGAAATAAACTAATCCTATTTGCTTTCCAGTTTCTCTACTATAAACCATCTTCGGAGAACACTTGGCTTTATCAGACACTGCTTCCTACGTCCCTCTCTCTCTCTTCCAAGGGAGGAAACAACCCATGTTCATTTGGCCAAACTGGATCATTGCTGGCCAGCATCGTAGAGGTCACGGCTGTGTCCGCCCTGGCAAAGGAAAGCGTTAGCCATCCAAGCATTATCCCACCCTGACCCTGCCAACATTCTTTCTGAAGTTAGCACAGAATGTTCGTCTCAGAAAGGCCAACAGCCAACTCGGGAAAGCCGAGCAGTTCTTCTATCAGAAAGAAAACATTCCTAGTCCTTCATTCCTCCCCTAAAGTCTCTTGTTTCTTCTCTTCTCTCTGGTCCAGCGTGGGTGCCTGCCCACAGTGAACACGAGAGCTTGTTCCATAAACCATAGTGGTTAGCACACACTCTTGACTTGTATCCAGTGTCCTGGGATTTGTTTTATTCTAGAACAGTGGTTCTCAGATGATGGTTCTTTGCCCATTGCCAGCTAACCCAACCCTCCCTTGCCAGGACTGTTTGCTGCTTTTAGGTTAAAATATGGCACTGCCTATAATTTTCCCCAGCATGAATTTTACTAAAGTGCTTCTTGGGGGTACTATTAAAAAGGCAGTAAATAAGTCTGAATGCATCCAGTTGATTTCCCTTTGGGCATTTGATTTTTTTTTTTTTCCCTAATAGGAAGCTGGAGTGGATCAGAAAAATTTATTTGCATGACTCTCTTAAACCAAAGGTATCTCTGTTGGAAAGAGTAGAGCAGCTCTTTGGTGTTATGAAGATGTGCTTTGGAGGCAAACTGCCTGGGTTTCATGGCTTCATTCTTTGGCCAGATTACTCATTTTTCTACCTGGTACCTCAGTTGTCTCATCTGCAAATGTTGATGGTAATAATAAAAACACCTAGACTAGCACCTGGTACCACAGGAAGTACTTGGGAAATACTTAGGTGGGCTTTTTATTGCTGTTATTGAAAAATAACCAAGCTTCTAGGGCAGCACTATCCAGTGGTAATAAAACAAGCCACATACATCATTTTAAAGTCTCTAATAGTCATATTAAAAAAGGAAAAGAGGCCAGGCATGGTGGCTTATGCCCATAATCCTAGCACTCTGAGGGGCCGAGGTAGGAGGATAGCTTGAGCTCAGGAGTTCGAGACCAGCCTGGGCAAGAGTGAGACCCCTGTCTCTAACATAAAAAATAAAAACACATTAAAAATAAATTATATCAAATATCTTTTAAAAAAATAAAATAAAACCCACATTACATTTAAAAAAAGGAAAAGAGAAACAGGTGAACTTGATTTTAATACTATAGTTTATTTAACCCAATAGAGCCATGATGGTATCATTTCAACATGCAGCTAGCCACATTTCCAAATGCAATAGCCACGTGTGGCTACCAGCTGTCAGAGCTCTTAAAGATTTATCTCAAAGCCACAACGACTGGTGAGTCACTCAATTCAGGAAGTTTCTGTTCCATCACAGAGTGTGCAGTGCATGTGAATAAAGAAGGTTCTTAAATGGTGGTGACGATGCCATCGTTAATCCAAAAGAGAGAGATTTTGTTGTTCATTATGGTTAAGTCCTTAAATTGCCTTCATGAAATACCATAACTGCAGGATGGACATGGCCATGCGTTTTGCTAGCTCTTCTCAGATTTCATTTTTGCAGCTATGGTTCAGTAAGTAAAACTTTGGATGCTCCAGGCTATTGAGAATTTAATATCCCATCATTATTGTCTGGTTTAATAATGAGGCAGCAAAACAGAGCCTAGCCTGTCATCCTTCAAATGTGTGATGGAGCTGAAGTCACTCCATGACCTTAGGTGATACATTTTAGTTCCTAATGCTTTTCCTTGGCTTTCTTATTGCACGAATAATGGACTCTGGTTTTGTTTCATTGCTATTATATGCCCACCCCTTAAAATATTGTGTGTATCAGCCTTTTAATGGCTCATAATCATATTGCTCTTGGATTTTTCTCCTTTCTTCCCTTCATCCACAGTGGTCCCCTGCCCAGGTCCTGGGGA